TGGCATATTTCCTATGATTCCATGCACCATTACAGTCGGCATCTAGTAATGTTTGATGGCATATTTCCTATGATTCCATGTACCATTACAGTTTGCATCTAGAAATGTTTGATGGCATATTTCCCATGATTCCATGCACCATTACATGCGGCATCTAGGAATGTTTGATGGCATATTTCCCATGATTCCATGCACCATTACATGTGGCATCTAGGAATGTTTGATGGCATATTTCCCATGATTCTATGCACCATTACAGTCGGCATCTAGTAATGTTTGATGGCATATTTCCTATGATTCCATGCACCATTACATGCAGCATCTAGGAATGTTTGATGACATATTTCCCATGACTTTATGCACCATTACAGTCGGCATCTAGTAATGTTTGATGGCATATTTCCTATGATTCCATGCACCATTACATGCAGCATCTAGGAATGTTTGATGACATATTTCCCATGACTTTATGCACCATTACAGTCGGCATCTAGTAATGTTTGATGGCATATTTCCTATGATTCCATGTACCATTACAGTTTGCATCTAGAAATGTTTGATGGCATATTTCCCATGATTTCATGCACCATTACATGCAGCATCTAGGAATGTTTGGCATATTTCCCATGATTCCATGCACCATTACATGGCATCTAGGAATGTTTGGCATATTTCCCATGATTCCATTCATCATTACATTGGCATCTAGGAATGTTTGATGGCATATTTCCCATGATTCCATGCATCATTGCAGTTTGCATCTAGGAAAGCTCTATGGTATATTTCCCATGATCCCGTGCACCATTACAGTTGGATTCTAGGAATGTTTGATGGCATATTTCCTATGATTCCATGCACCATTACGTGGCATCTAGGAATGTTTGATGGTATATTTCCCATGATTCCATGCATCATTACAGTTTGCATCTAGGAAAGCTCTGTGGTATATTTCCCATGATCCCGTGCACCATTACAGTTGGATTCTAGGAATGTTTGGTGGCATATTTCCTATGATTCCATGCATCATTACAGTCGGCATCTAGTAATGTTTGATGGCATATTTCCTATGATTCCATGCATCATTACAGTCGGCATCTAGTAATGTTTGATGGCATATTTCCCATGATTCCATGCACCATTACAGTCAGCATCTAGTAATGTTTGATGGCATATTTCCCATGATTCTATGCACCATTACAGTTGGCATCTAGGAATGTTTGATGGCATATTTCCCATGATCCCGTGCACCGTTACAGTCAGCATCTAGTAATGTTTGATGGCATATTTCCCATGATTCTATGCACCATTACAGTTGGCATCGAGTAATATTTGATGGCATATTTCCCATGATTCTATGCACCATTACAGTTGGATTCTAGGAATGTTTGATGGCATATTTCCTATGATTCCATGCACCATTACAGTTGGCATCGAGTAATATTTGATGGCATATTTCCCATGATTCTATGCACCATTACAGTTGGCATCTAGGAATATTTGATGGCATATTTCCTATGATTCCATGCATCATTACAGTCG